TCTACAGATGGGGTTTTGGTGTGGATGTCCTTTTTGTTGATGTTGATGCTATTCCTTTCTGTTTGTTAGTTTTCCTTCTAACAGTCAGGTCCCTCAGCTGCAGGTCTGTTGGAGTTTGCTGGAGGTCCTCTCCAGGCCCTGTTTGCCTGGATATCACCAGTGGAGGCTGCAGAACAGCAAATGTTGCACAACAGTAAATATCGATGTCTGGTCCTTCCTCTGGAAGCTTCATCTCAGAGGGGCACCCGGCTGTATGAGGTGTCAGTCGGCCCCTACTGGGAGATGTCTCCCAGTTAGGCTACACGGGGGTCAGGGACTCACTTGAGGAGGCAGTCTGTCCATTCTCAGAGCTCAAACGCCATGCAGGGAGAACCACTGGTCTCTTCAGAGCTGTCAGACAGGGATGTTTAAGTCCGTGGAAGTTTCTGCTGCCTTTTGTTCAGGTACGCCCTGCCCCCAGAGGTGGAGTCTATAGAGGCAGGACAGCCTTATTGAACTGCTGTGGGCTCACCCAGTTTGAGCTTCCCAGCCACTTTGTTTACCTACTCAAGCTTCAGCAATGGCAGAGCCCCTCCCCCAGCCAGGCTGCCTCCTAGCGGTTCGATCTCGGACTGCTGTGCTAGCAGTGAGCAAGGCTCTGTGGGCATGGAACCTGCTTAACCAGGCACGGGACATAATCTCCTGGTGTGCCATTTGCTAAGACTGTTGGAAAAGTGCAGTATTTAGGTGGCAGTGTCCCGAATTTCCTGGTACAGTCTGTCACGGCTTCCCTTGGGTCAGAAAGGAAAATCCCAGGACCCCTTGTGCTTCCTGGGTAAGGCGTTGCCCTGCCCTGCTTTGGCTTGCCCTCCATGGGCTGCACCCACTGTCCAACCAGTCTCAATGAGATGAACCAGGTACCTCAGTTGGAAATGCAGAAGTCACCTGTCTTCTGCATCAATCACGCTGGGAGCTGCAGACTGGAGTTCTTCCTATTCAGCCATCTTAGAATAGATCCAGTGTACCTTCATTTTCAATAAGTTTCTGCTTTTTTTGCTTTATTCTTTCCTTGCTTTGTTTGTGCATTTTGTCCAATTATTTGTTCAAGATGCCAAGAATCTGGACAGCTTCAACTAGTAACAAGTAGACCATCTAACAATTATCTATTTAACTTTAGTTGTTTGTTCATGAAAACCTAGGCTAAAAAGCATGCTTTGATCCCTTGGTATTAACCTCCTGATAGTCAAAATAGTAGTCTCTCTGCTGCACTGTATTCTCTCAAAAGTTACACATGTTTGCATGAAGTCATCTGTAGAATGTCAAATGGTCTCTCTTTAACTGGAGTGACAGAAACTCAAAGACATATGTGACTATGAAGACTCCATAACCTATGAATAAAGCGATAAAGATAAAAATCCAAAATAATGGAAACAGAGTGGCACAGAGGCCCCGAAGTTTGGTCACACTCTGAGCTATGTGAAAACTTACTAAAAAGAAGAACTTATTCAACATAATTATTGGAGGCCATCATTGTGGACTGAGTTTGTTCACTAGACCAAAACAGACCAAACTAAAATGTGTCGCTAATGCTAAATGTGATATAATGAAACTGAAAATTTAAGCAAATAGGTAGATCCTAAAACAGGCCAGGTTTTGGTTTTCTTTGGTAAACAGATTTCAACACAAGGAGGTCCCCTGTATTCTAACCTTTTAAAAAATAAACAATAAAAAATAATAACCTGAAGTTCTTGTTTCCACTTTATAAAACTCACACTTCTGCTATTTCACAGTGGGATTTGAGACTAAATAAGTATATTTTTGACGGTAACAGAGTTACATTACTGTCTAAAGTTTTGGTCTACATCTCAAAATTTAGAAGATGAGCAAAAGAGAGAAATTGCTAAATTAATTATACCCTAAAAGCTGCCCCCTTTTATGTTTAATTTTGGATTTCGGTCAACAGTTCTTTTTTTTTTTTTTTTTTTTTTTTTTGAGATGGAGTCTCGCTCTATCGCCCAGGCTGGAGTGCAGTGGCAGGATCTCTGCTCACTGCAAGCTCTACCTCCTGGGTTCATGCCATTGTCCTGCCTCAGCCTCCCGAGTAGCTGGGACTACAGGCACCCGCCACCACATCCAGCTAACTTTTTGTATTTTTAGTAGAGACGGAGTTTCACCATGTTAGCCAGGATGTTCTCAATCTCCTGACCTCATGATCTGCCCACCTTGGCCTCCCAAAGTGCTGGGATTACAGGCATGAGCCACCACTCCTGGCCACCTCTTTTTTTTTTTTTTACATAGTAAACTGAAACCTAACTGGATATGTAAACAGACTAATCCATTCTTGTACCAACCGCTGTATTTTGGCCAATAAAAGGACATCAACCGTTCAAACCGTATTTTAATAAGACAAATCTCAAGCTGTAATCAATAGAGCTGTTTCTGTACCTAACTTTCATTTTCTCTACGTCACTTTGAATTTTCTGTCTACAAATCTTTTACCACCATGTGGCTTTGCTGGAGTCTCTCTGAGCCTACCCTGGATCCACAGTCTACCTGATGTGCAAATCACTCTTTGCTCAATTAAACTCTGTTAAATATAATTTCTGTAAAGTTTTTTCCTTTGAAAAGTTTTCAACTTTTTTCTATGATGAGAAATAAATAATGTGTTGTTGTTCTTTGATTTTCTAAATTCATTTCTTGGCTATTTTCCCAAATTACTCTATGTCCTTTCAAAATGCTTCTTTAATTTTTTTTTTTTTTTTGACAGTGTCTCTGTCTATGACCCGGGCTGGAGTGTGGTGATGTAACCAATTATGGCTCACTGCAGCCTTAAGTTTCCAGGCTCAAGCAATCTTTCTGGCTCAGCTACCCAAGTAGCTGGGACTACCATGATACAAGCCTGGTTAACTTTTTATGAAGACAGGATTTTACTAGATTGTTCAGGCTGCACTTGAACTTTGGGCTCAAATGATTCTCCCATCTCAGCCTCCCAAAGTGCTAGGATTACAGGTGTGAACCACCATGTGCTTCTGCAATTTCTTGAGAGGATTATTTCCTATAATAAACAGTACTGTATGGGCAAAAATCTAATAGGAATCTGGCTTCTATTTTAGAATTTTCACTCTCCAGGATTTCAAGGGCCTGTGGCAGCTACTTTAGTATTATAGCTTGATCTCTGGAAGTGCATGGGCTTTGGAGTCAGACAGAGTTGACCCTGAGTCTCAGCCCAGCTATTTAGTAGCTGTGGGTCCTTGAACAAGTTTCTTTTTTTTTTTCTTTTTTTTTTTTGAGATGGAGTCTTGCTCTGTCGCCCAGGCTGGAGTGCAGTGGGCGGATCACAGCTCACTGCAAGCTCCGCCTCCTGGGTTCACGCCATTCTCCTGCCTCAGCCTCCCCAGTAGCTGGGACTACAGGTGCCCGCCACCTCGCCCGGGTAGTTTTTTGTATTTTTTTAGTAGAGACAGAGTTTCACCATGTTAGCCAGGATGGTCTCGATCTCCTGACCTTGTGATCCACCCGTCTTGGCCTCCCAAAGTGCTGGGATTACAGGCTTGAGCCACTGCGCCCGGCCTGAACAAGTTTCTTGATGTGATGTGGAAGACTTTTTCTTTTTTGTTATTGAGATGGAGTTTTGCTCTTTTCCCCCAGGCTAGAGTACAGTGGTGTGATCTCCGCTCACTGCAACCTCCACCTCCTAGGTTCAAGTCATTCTCCTGCCTCAGCCTCCCGAGTAGCTGGGATTACAGGCGCCTGCCACCACTCTCAGCTATTTTGTGTGTGTGTGTGTGTGTTTTTAGTAGAGACAGGATTTCGCCATGTTGGCCAGACTAGTCTCAAACTCCTGACCTCAGTGATCCACCTGCCTCGGCCTCCCAAAGTGCTGGGATTACAGGTGTGAACCATCATGCCTGGCCAATGTAGAAGACTTCTATAAACCACATAAGAAAAAAGGCAGACTGATACTGATTGCAAAACTTGTAGCAATTTTTCATCCTTCCTATATCCATTGCCAGGTGCTTTTACGGCTGTCGCTGTTGAGATATAGAATCTGTTTTTCAAGCCCTAGATCTGACTGACCTGATTTTCTTAGGACCGTAGAAAACTATGAACATGACAGTGTGCTTAGTCTGGGGCTTGAGCTCAAATGGTATTGAATGCTTCTGTTTTTATTTCAGAATTCTGCCATCTCCATGGAAAAAGCCTCTGTTAGCCAGCTGAAGGATAAGATATTATGAGAAAAAGCAAGGTGTCCCTGTTGACAGGTCGAGAAGCAGAAGCTCACCCCCAGAAGCACAGCTACTTAGTCAACAAGCAGCTGATGACATATGTCTGGAGGAGGTCAGCTGAGACCAGAAGAATGGCCTCACTGAGCCCAGCCTAAATGGCTGACCATTTCAATAATGAGCTAATCAGTTTCGGATAGTTTGTTATGCTTCAATAGCTAACTAATACACGCACCCAGTGCAGACAGGATGCCAGGATTTAATGACAGGTTGATTACTAGTTACCTTCTAACAGTGGGCACCCTAAAGGTATTGATTTTTTTTCCCCTGATTTAAAGTTGGATGTCTGGTAAGATCATGTTGATTAACGCAGAAATACAGGTAGACATGTATGAATGTGACTGGTGCTTACCCTCATACAGTCACCCACACCACAGAAGAAATCAGATAACAGCCTGACCATTAGGGTTAAAGTTAAATAGCAAAATAAGTTTGCCTCCAATCTATTTTCTTCATATCTTATTTTCATTTGTGAATGGACGTATAGCATATTATTTATAAATTTATATAACCTTATACACAAGATTAAAGGCAAATACCTCTGGGGGTGGGCCTGGCTCCGCTCAGGGAGGAAGCCCTGCCTGAAAAGGCTGCAAGTCTAGGCCCTCACTCTTTCTTCATTCAGCCCAGCATCTAATCATATCTTCTGTCAATCAGGGCCTGAAGGGACGGGTCTTAAACGTCATCCAATCAGGGACGCTGGGCTAGAAACCGTCCAATCAGGCACGCAGCTGGAGCGGAAAGGGCGGCTTCCGGGATATGGCGGGGCCTTTGTCTCTCGCTGCACCCAGAGCTCCAGATCTCGTCGTCAGTGCTCTGTGTCCTCTGCTCCTAGAGGCTCAGCCTCTGTGGCCCTGTGACCTGCAGGTATTTGGACATCCACTGCTAAGACGCCAGGACCCCCCGGAAGCCTAGAAATGGTAAGAGTGCAGGGTCCGACATCCCGAAAGAGGGGAAAGGCTGGTTGGAACAGGCAAGAAGAGGCTGTGGTGGGACTCAGGCCTCCCCGCAGTCAGTTCCACAATCTGCGCCAGGAGTTCTCCTTGCCCAGCTCGGCCTCAGTCCCCTTCAACCATAAGATGGCGGCTGCGCTGATAGCCGGACCCCAGGCGTCCTGTCTCTTCCCTGGGTAGTGACTGTGCCCTGGCCTGGAGCCCTTTCTGGGCAGCTCTACCCCTGCGGCGCCGCGTCTCTCCTAGATTGTGCAGGGACCACGGGAGGGTCATGGGGAGAACCCTGACTCGGGGTGCCATTTCATGAATGGGAAGAGCTTTGGTCCATGGGGTTCCCAGTTTCTCTTTTCTCTATTTTCTTTTCTTTATTTTCTCCTTCCTGCCTTTCTGCCTTCCTTCCTTCCTTCCTTCCGTCTTTTTTTTTTTTTGAGATGGCGTCTTGATTTGTTGCCCAGGCTGGAGTGCAGTGGCGCGATCTCGGCTCACTGCAACCTCCCCCTTCCGGGCTCATACAATTCTTCTGTGTCAGCCTCCTGGGTAACAGATTACAGGTGCCCGTCCCCACGCCTGGCTAATTTTTTGTATTTTTAGTAGAGACGGGGTTTCACTGTGTTGGCCAGGCTGGCCACGGCCTCCCAAAGTGCTGGGATTACAGGTGTGAGCCACCATACCCGGCCTCTCTTTTCTTCTATTAAAAATGCGTGGGAGTCTCCGCAAAAATATTGAAGAATTTAATCAAAATGTAGTTCTAAAATTGTGCAGCGCCCAGCTATGGGTTGTAGTTTGTGGTCCATAGGAGGGGCTGGAAGAAAAGACTTATAAGGTGCATGATGCAAAAATCCAAATTCAATAATAGGTTAGGTACAGTTACGCAGTTTCTTAATTTCCACCTTGACCTTACAGATTTGCTGGTTATGTAGTCAGAACTTAATTGGCGGTTTATAGCTGTTTGCTGTTTAAGCCAGAATTTCGTTTCCCCTAATGTAGTAATTTATCAGGGAAAAAAACAACATTTAAGTTAGATTTTTTAAAGTAGGAATCCAAGGCCGGGCCTGGTGGCTCACTCCTGTATTCCCAGCACTTTGGGAGGCCAAGGCGGGCAGATCACCTGAGGTTGGGAGTTCGAGACCAGCCTGACACGCAGAAGCCCCATCTCTACTGAGAATATAAAATTAGTCGGGTGTGGTGGTGCATGCCTGTAATCCCAGACACTCCAGAAGGTGAGGCAGGAGGATCACTTGAACGCTGGAGGCAGAGGTTTCGGTGAACCGAGATCATGCCATTGCACTCCAGCCTGGGCAACAAAAGCGAAACTCCCTCTCCAAATAATAATAAATAAAAGTAGGAATCCAGGGACTAGAGCCACCTCTAGTTAATTGCCTGCCACTTAACTATTTTCACACTTCACAGGGAACCCATCTGCCCCCTGCACTTTTTACATGTGTCCCAAACAGGATCTCAAGTCTGCTCCACACCACTCATTCCTCCAGCCTAACTCTGGCTCGCAGAAAAATACCAAACTTCCAATTTTTTTCTGACGATCCTAAATGCCAACTTCTCCTCCCTAATTCACATTATTAACTATTTGTCTTTTAGTGTACATTTCTGATATCGTAATTTCATTAATCATTTTTTGACAAGGCACTGGATGGCTCATTTAAAAAGATTGATTTTCTGTTGTAAATATATCCCATGAGAAAAAAGCAAATAATAATTCTTTTGATATTCTCCAGGCACAAATTTTATGAGAATGTTTTGGGGTCAAGGTTTTTTTTTTTTTTTTTTAATTTTCGTGGGGCCATGTGTCCTCAGCCACGCTTTAGTTTTTTCCTGGTCTTGGGTTTCAGTACTGTCTGTGAATAAATCAAGATATCAACCATGGCTGTGTCTGCTGGAGTGTCTAATGAATATTAGTTCCTGGGTCATTTTTTATCATAGGATAACCTGAGGTATGAAGTGGCTTCTCAAGGGAGCAGGTGGATGCCCAGGGGCTGAGATAAATTCCTGGTGTACTCTTCCTTTGAAAAGCTAACCCCTCAAGATGTTAAGATTGTCTTCACTCAACTCAGCTTCCATTTTTTGGAGACACTGCTGATCCGCCAATTAGATGCTAATATTGAGAGAAAAACAAATAATTTCTGCTCCCTGAATTCTCTAATGTATGTAGAAAAGGAAAATAGTATACAAAAAGTAAGGGAGAAAGAAAAAAAAAACAAACCTCACCCCAGAGAGATGGTGCAAGAACTTGCAAAGTAAAATGCACTTACGGCACTCACTGGGGCACTCACGGCACTCACTGGACCACTACTGAGAGGGTGGTCATGGAGTATTAAGGGAGCAGGATGGGGTGGGAGAATCTCTAAAGTGATTGGATGGCCTGACTTGACACATGAGTTAGACACATCATCTGTTTTCTAATCAGCACTGCCCCTCCCTGGGTTTGTCACCTTGAAAGGATTAGTTCACTTATATGGACTTTAGTTTTTTAACTGTAAATTGATTTTTATTATTAGAGATTGAAAGGTGCAAAAATATTTACAAAGGGCATACAAGTGGTGGGTTTCAAAAAAAATCGAATCACATATTCCTTCGTTAAAAATTCTCATGTACCTTTTTCTTTTTCAGAGTGAATTAGGGAATTTTCTCAGGTGTGTTTTTTATGGCTAGGTATTTTCAAACAGACTTCCAAGACTTAGCGTTTAGAATGCTACCAAGGAGAGTAAGGAAAGATCTTCCATTTTGACTGTAGAAAATGAACACATTTCCACAATAAAATGTGGTAAATAATTGGTGAGTTACATGGATTCATGAAAACATCAGTTCCTCTTCTTGCAGGGTAGATTTGTAACCATGAATATTTCTGTTCTTTATCCTGTTGTTTCGATTTCTGAGTTTTATGCTAAATTTTATAAGATGAAACTTGGTACTTCCTAGAAGTGTTTGCATGTGACTAATTGTTTACTACCTGATTTTTAATGGAAAAATATAATAATATATTTATTGTTTGAAAAGAATAGATGTTTTTGCTTTTCTTGTTGAGGTGTGAAATGTAAGCACTGTAAAATTTTCTTTTTGTTTTTGAGACAGAGTTTTTGCTCTTGTTACCCAGGCTGGAGTGCAATGGTGCGATCTCTTCTCGCCGCAACCTCTGCCTCCCGGGTTTAAGTGATTCTCCTGCCTCAGCCTCCTGAGTAGCTGGGATTACAGGCATGTGCCACCACGCCTGGCTAAATTTGTGTTTTAGTATAGACAGGGTTTCCCCCATGTTGGTCAGGTTGGTCCTGAACTCTCGACCTCAGGTGATTTGCCCACCTCGGCCTCTCAAAGTGCTGGGATTACCCGTGTGAGCCACTGTGCCCGGCCAAATTTTCTTTTCTCATATGAACGTTGTGTTTGAGTAATTTTGCAGGGTTTTTCAAACACTTAGTTTCAAACACCAAGCGAATGACATGGATATTAAAGCTTGAGCCCAGTGGCTCCAAGCTAAGGCTACTGTTGAGCCTGCAGAAGGAGGTTATTAAAAGCCCAGTTAGTTCTTTCTGGGTAGCCTCCCCTGTAGATGTCCCAGCCTGCTCACCCCAGCCATGGAAGAAGGCTTTATCCTGAGAGAAGCTACAGAACCCTGGGAAGCTGGGGACCCACAGGCAGATGCAGTTAAGATTAAGATGGAAGAAACCTGGGGGCATCTTACTGAAGATGAAGTTACTGTTTTGAGGCAGTTTTTAGACTTCAGCCAGACATGGTGGCTCACGCCTGTAATCCCAGCACTTTGTGAGGCTAAGGCGGGCAGATCACAAGGTCAGGAGATCGAGACCATCCTGACTAACAACGGTTAAACCCTGTCTCTTCTAAAAATACAAAAAATTAGCTGGGCATGGTGGCACATGCCTGTAATCCCAGCTACTCGAGAGGCTGAGTCAGGAGAATCACTTGAACCGGGGAGGTGGAGGTTGCAGTGAGCTGAGATTGCGCCACTACACTCCAGCCTGGGTGACAGAGCGAGACTCCGTCTCAAAAAAAAAAAAATAGACTTTGTAAAATAAAAACAAAGTTTGATTTATGTAAAAACAATTTGAGTTCCAAATAAGTATTGCAACAGAAATAAGTATAAACTGTAAGATATTTAAGGACTGCAAAGACAGACAAAGACTTTCCTTCATAGAGAGGAGCTAACAAGGTTAGAAAGATGATGGGAGAATAATGGCAAATGGAGGGTTATAAAATCAGATTCTAGATCAGAGAATGTTTTACCCTGAAGTCAGAATGTTCTTAGGAGGGATATAAAATGGGGTCATATGTTTATTCAGACTGATGGTAGCTCAAAGTTCAGTAGTCTGTGGGAAGGAAATAAAGTTAAGTAAAATTTGATTAAGAAGTATTTTACTATGACCAGTGAAGACAAATTCAGCTGTTTTTTTTTTTTCTTTTTTCTTCTTTTTTTTTTTTTTTTTTTTTTTTTTTTTGAGACAGAGTTTTGCTCTTGTTGCCCAGGCTGGAGTGCAGTGGCACAATCTCAGCTCACTTGAACCCCTCCTGGGTTCAAGTGATTCTCCTGCCTCAGCCTCCCAAGTAGCTGGGTCTATAGGTGCCTGCCACCACACCCAGCTAATTTTTTTATTTTTAGTAGAGATGAGGTTTCACCATATTGGCCAGGCTGGTCTCGAACTTCTGACCTCGTGATCTGCCTGCCTTGGCCTCTCAGAGTGCTAGGATTACAGGTGTGAACCACCGCACCTGACCTCTGCATTAGTTTTCTAAGGATAATGGGTGTCACCTCCATCCATGTTGCTGCAAAGAACATTATCTTGTTCATTTTTATGGCCACACAGTATTCCATGATGTACATGTACCAAATGTATTTTTAAAATTTTTGTTTTATTTTTCGTGGAGACAGGGTCTCACTCTGTCACCTAGGCTGGAGTGCATTGGCATGATCTTGGCTCAGTATGGCCTCAACATTCTGAGCT